TAATATCATATATGCGTTGCCTTTTAGTGATCTCCGACTGGCGAAGTCGAACATCATTAGCGCCGGCGTGAATAACAATCTTACTGAATTTACGTCTAGCATTAGCCAGCACTTTTAAATTTGTCAAGATGTCAGGCACTCTGGCTCCTGGTAAACATTGGACTATGGTGGCTGGTGTCTCTATTTTCACGTTCCGTACAATAGAATCGCCAATAACTAAAGCACTTTGATCAGGTTTCTCAGTGGGTGCGTCACTGAGTGGGGAGAACCTGTTTAATGTTTTGATCCAAACGGAAGAGCAGTGTTTTGACCCGCGACTATGCCGCCTCACAGTCACCCAGTCGCCCTGCTGCGGAGGCTCTGTTACCGGAACCGAACAATGTACAGGACTCCCTGATCTAGTCGCATCCAAAGCCGTATCTAGAGCCCTCACATTCTTACTGTCCTCAATTAAAGTTTGGATGAGTGTCTCTAATTCTGAAATCTTCTCTGTCAGCCTAACTATTTCCCTGCATTTATCACATTAGAATCCCTTGTCGCCGACAGAGAGAGATAAACTATACATGTGGCAAGCGTTGCAAACAACAATAGCAGGAGAAGAAGCCATTACTCACCGTGATTGATGAATGATTCTGACTTACCACTGACGTTTGATGAACTCGTGAAAAACAGAGCGAGAGAGAAAAGAAACGGAGCGAGAGAAATGCGAATGGAAACGTGAATGACAAGCTAACTGGCTAACGAATGCTAATGCGCTATACGTGCGCTGCACTCACAATTTAAAATTGAAAGCGAACAAACGCTAATGAGCTGTACGTGCGCTGCACTCACGATTTAAAATTGAAAGCAAACTAACAAATTAGTCAGATTAGTTTGATAGATAATATCGGATAAATGGTGGTAATTAAGTTGATATTTTATCACTTTAAACAAAAGAGAGTGAAAGTAAGTTAGATATTCAACAGAAAAGCAAAGCTACATGGGGTTACAATCACAAACCACTCAGCAGCACGGCAGACGGGAACCTGTGACAAAGTCCAAAGTAAAATAATCCCACAAGATCGGTTATTTCCACAAGGAGAGAACTCAGAGTCACAGTCAAAAACAGCGAGTGTGAATGACACGACCGATCGCTATAGTCCAAATGTGAGCATGAAGATCGTTGCTCAACTTTAGGAGCCTTTTAGAGGTGTTTTAGAGCTGTATTAGAGGTGTATTAGAGGTTTATTAGAGGTGTATTAGAGCTGTATTCGAGGTGTATTAGAGCTGTATTAGAGGTGTATTAGAGCTGTATTCGAGGTGTATTAGAGCTGTATTAGAGGTGTATTAGAGCTGTATTAGAGCTGTATTAGGTGTATTAGAGCTATATTAGAGGTGTATTAGAGCTATATTAGAGCTCTATTAGAGGTGTATTAGGTGTATTAGAGCTGTATTAAGTGTATTAAAGGTGTACTAGAGCTGTATTAGGTGTATTAGAGCTGTATTAGGTGTATTAGAGGTGTATTAGAGGTGTATTAGAGCTGTATTAGGTGTATTAGAGGTGTATTAGAGCTGTATTAGAGGTGTATTAGAGCTGTATTAGAGGTGTTTTAGAGCTGTATTAGAGGTGTATTAGAGCTTTATTAGATGTGTATTTGAGGTGTATTAGAGCTGTATTAGCGCAAAGGAAACAGCAAATCAGAATATCAAAATGATTTCTAAAGGATCATGTGACTGGAGTAATGCAGCTTTGAAATCACAGGAATAAATTACAGATTAAAGTATATTAAAATAGACAGCAGTTATTTTAAACAGTAAAAATATTTCACAATGTTACAGCTTTTGCTGTATTTTGGATCAAATAAATGCAGGCAAAAACTTTTGCCTGGCAGTTTAGGTATGCTTGGGCTGTTATAAATGTTTTAAAAAAAATAATTTATATGCTATAGAGTTGTTTGGGGTGGACATAAATCAAGGGGTTGAGGGTCTGTCCATGTAAACTTTGAATGGAATGGCAGCGAAGGGCATGTTCTTAGGGACGTTCACTAGAGTGTGTCTAAAATGGGAGTGGAACACAGACGCATTCGTGTGAAGGTTACTCTCTAGAGGAGTCTGATACTTTACTTAATTACTGCAAATCTGATCGCACCACACAACCGAAAAACATCCAAAAACACCCAAAATAAAAAGCAAAACGTTTTATCGACTGAATGTGGTGTAGGAGGTAAATGCCAGACCTCACTGAATCACAGAAATCACTGGATGTTATCTGTGGGCTCCATGATATCAGACAGACGGGACAGGAACCTAAACGAGTTTAGAGATGAACACATTCAAGAATTAGGCAGATCTCTGTTAATCACATTATATTCACTCTCTACGTATCGTGATCCACCGAGCTCTGAAGCGCACAAACATCAGTTTCAGTCCTGCTGAACAAACCTATTTCAGAGTAAACCACATTACCAAAGCTACTTTTGGGGAAATGAAAGTAAAAGCCAGAGTAAACTGGTATGTCTGCACTCCCTGAACAGAACACATGATATAGAACATTTCTAAACTGAATCCAGTCTCAGCGATCACAGTCCTGACATGGAGAAAGACACACAACACTGGGCTCCTGACTAAAACCAACTTATTTTTCAAGTTATTTTTCACAATGAGAAAAAATAGCGGCCTTTTTGACAACTGCACATCTCTGCCTCAAGAATGGACACCAGTAAAAAAATCCTTGTAGATGCATCAAAACGCTCGACGATGATATATGTTAGCCATGCAGTCTACTTTTATTTATTTTATTTCAGGTTTATTTGACAGCGACAATGCACGCCAGTAACTCATAAATGTACAAGGTGCCAGAATTAGCCAGAAGGCTATTTTGCATCTGCAGTCTCTGGACAGTTGGTAAAAATGTCACCCTAAGAAAATATGAAAGAAATAATCTATACACAACACACATATGATGATGATGGCAGAGTTACAAAACGAAGACTTCTCAATTTAGACTCCAACTATGATATGTTATGGGCATCTATCAAGGGTTTTTAGGGAAAATTTCCTTTTCTGCTAGACTTAAAAAATTATTATCTTGAGCAAGTAACAGTATTAGAAAGAAGTGTGGAATTAGAAAGAGTATGAGGTCACAAATCGTCCAGTGTTACACAACAAAACAAGCTAAATGTGGAAGTAAGGGCTGACTCACTGATCTGATTCACAGAAGAGCAGAATATCTCGTGCATATTACAAAGCATGCAGCTCCTTGTATGTGCAAACAGACCTGTCAATAAAGCTCTTTCTGATAAGTAGATGACAGATGGAAGTTGTTTGTGTTAGATGCAATAAACAAGCATGAGCTGAATCAATCTGCGACTTTATTCACAGGCCTCAGCGCAAACTGCGTGTGAACCAACACAACAACGCCACCACAGGATACAGGCCATATATGGCATTACGCTGTGTAACATCTCCCTTTCTTTAAAGAATTGCCACACTCCACTAAGAACCCTCTCCCTCCATTAACAACCCCAACTCCCAACATGAACTCAAAATTACTAGCTAAATTTATGCTTTGTAATACTACTAACTGAACTGCTTTACTGATGCCCTAGTCTGTCTAAGACACTAAGAAGGACTCACAAATCCAAGTCTCTGTGGTGGCCGTGACTGATGGCCGCTGTTTTTCCTAGTGGTGATGGTTTGTTAGCCACAGTCAGTCTTCCTTCCTGAATTTGCCCTGGCTCACACCCTGTGATGTCCGATGTGTCGTCCTCTCTGATTGCCGTATCACTGTAGCTAGCCACTGAGCCCTGCCTGCTCTCCTTTATCCCTGCCTCTTGGTGATTAAACTGGTCGGAACGCTCGGCCCTCCGCAAATCCACACGGTTGCGCCTGTATAATGTGCCATCCACATTCACAACATAAGACCGCGGATTCACCTTTCCTAAACACAGGCCTCTCCGCCACCGGCCCGTGCGGTCTCCAGGCAGGGGTTTTTAACAGCTCGTGTTGCTTGCGTTGATGGATTTCAGGTGCCACCGGAACGCCGAAAGGCAGTTTACACCATCTCATCCGCCCCCGTGGTGTCCAGAAAGTTGTCATTAAACTGCGCTCATTGTCCAGTCTGCAGTGTAAAAAGGCATCACGAATGTCCGCCAGCGTGAACAGACGTGCTTTGGTAGCTTATACAGAATGTCCTCCAGTGTCGGCATGTGGTAATGCGATCTTTATAGTGCTTGATTCAGGTGTTTTGGGTCTATACATATCCTTACCATGTTGCTGATCCATGGGGTAGGTTCAGTGATAGATGTGATGTGCCCATCTCTCATGTACTTATCGAGCTGTTCTTTTACTCTGGCTTTCAAGGCCACTGGCACGTTCCGTGGTGCGCATTGTCGACATTCGTTGCGCCGCAGTGCTGCCGCTCTCACCTCTTTGGGCTTCTCAACTAACCCAGTAGCTAGTTCATAGTCCTCGAATTCCGCTCTGAAATTATCCCAATTCTTGGATATATCCCCGGACATCGGCATGCCCTCGGGAGCGGGAATGCTGTTCAAGGCCATGTTCAGCCACTTCGGACACCATGTTTGTGTGAGATGCAATAAACAAGCATGAGCTGAATCTTATTTTTACCTTTGCTTTTCAGAACTGACTGCAGATAATGTCCCTGAAGCTGGAGCGTGGTCCCAATCACATACATTCCATGCACACCCACTGTAAGGTTATTCACAGAGCACATGTAATCACATGCATATGTAAGCCAGAAGACGGGGAAAGTTAGGCTGTGACTGTGGCAAAGAAACGGAAACCCCCTCATGAATTGGCTTCATTCATTATTGGAGATATTCTTACATCTGAAACAATCATCTGCAGGGACCTGAACTGATTCCACACTCACAATGGTTTTTACGGTTTCATCTGCTGCTATTATTTCTGTTCTTATGTTCAGTACTTATTCTGTTGTTTTATTTTTGATATTTTTTGGGTGTGTGGGAAGGGTGGAGGTTTGTCAAATATGCTTTCTTTCCTTTATTACCATATGTGCACGCACAGCAAGAGAGAGCGCAAGAGAGAAGCAGCACACGAGCGCTCCTCAACTCCTAATTACTGAGCAAGGCAAGTTTATTCGTCTTTATCACACCAACTGTGGCCGCTCAGTGCTATGCGTTACATTGTCGCGCCTCTCAAATTCTGTGCTCTAACTGATTTAAACATAATACAAGTCGGGTCATCATGTTTGTTAAAAGGTATGAGGGCTTGTATCAGTCCATTAAGAGATCGCTATGCTGTTCTGTTGCAGAGAAATCAATCGGTTCGCCATGGACGGCTGTGCGCAGATGTGTAAATGTTTCCTGATCCTGTTTAACATCCTCTTCGCTGTGAGTATTAATATTTACTCCTCTATATGCGTAATGCAGATGAGCAAACACTCTCAGTGTTTCTGAGTATGCATGTGCTGTGATAGCCAACAACACGATGCATTACAGATACATATGAAGCAGCTACCGATGCGATGGAGAAAATATGATCACTGTTTCATAAGACAGGTTAACCAAATAAGCCAGGCTTATAGTCAAATTATTTGGTCCCATAAAGCAAATTTAACATGGGCCTAGATCCAGCTTAGTCACTGTGGCAACTTAATGATATTACCATTATTTGACTCTTTATTTTACAGTTTCTAGCCATGCAGCCTTTCTCTCTGGTTTTATGGCAGCTCTACCTTTTATAGTTTGCAGAACAGAGTCGGTATCATTTTAATTTTTTGGAAAAGAAATGATAGAAATTACTTTTATTCAGCAAGGATGCTTTAAATGGATCAAAAGTGATGATAAAGACCTTTATATTGTTACAAAAGTTTCTATTTCAGATAAATGCTGTTCTTCTGAACTTTCTATTCATCAAAGAAACCTGAAAAAATTATACTCGGCTGTTTTCAACTTCATAATAATAATAATAAATGTGTTTTGAGCAGCAGATCAGAATGATTTCTGAAGGATCGTGTGACTGGAGTAATGATGCTGAATATTCAGCTTTGAAATTACATTTTAAAATATATTCAAATAGACCACAGTTATTTGAAATAGCCTAGTGAAAATATTTCACAATGTTACAGTTTTTGCTGTACTTTGGATCAAATAAATGCAGGCTTTGTGAACAGAAGAGACTTCTTTAAAAACATGAACAATCTTGTAGTGTACAGGCAACTCTAATTGTTCTCTAATTTCTAGCTTTTAAGTGGCTTAGAAATCAGATAACTGCTGGACAATAACCAATAATAATGATTTGCTTATATACTACAAACACTTTTTTATCACATAATAAGGCACACATAATAAGGCAGAATAGTTTCTATACTGTAATAAATGCTATGTCAGCTAGCACTGCATTGTTCATATCAGTGTGTCCTAACTTGACCTTCAAAGGGGGCGGGGGGTGCGGTTGGGGGGACGGGCCGCCCCCCTAAAATAATGGCAGGGGAAACACTGCTGTTACTTTATTTAGTACTTGGAGATGACTTGACAAACACAAATAAACCATATATTGTCGCAATCGTATGTTTAATGTCTTCATGTTTCCAAACGTTTCTGTTTTTCTGTGAAAACAACTGTTTTCACACAGCGAGAGCTGGATGCTTTTGTCCATATTAGGGATTTCCTGGTACGACTTTCTGCGCGAGAGCGCCTCCGACTTCGAGTATGAATGAAACATACACTGCATGAGTGTTTAGCGCTCTCGCCTTAATCTGGGTCCAAATAAAACATCAGGTCATGCACATGTAACGGGGGTATTTAGCCCGTTGTGTAGGGGAAATGGATTACGGCTGCCCTGGAAGTTTGGACAACGAAAGGATCTTGGTCCCCGCTCCCCAAACTTTTTAGTCTCGTTACACACTACCGTGTGTATGTGGTTTCTTACCTTATTGTGTTGGAACACTACTGATTGACAAGGGTAGGCTTCAGGTATGGTAACATTACACGGTGGCTTCCTGAAGTGAAATTGCATACATGAAAGTACAGTGTGATATGCTCCTCCCTCCCCAGATCTAATAAAGTAAGTGAGACTCCCCCACTCCCTGACAGCTCTCAACAGAAAGGTACACTGTACATAAGTGCAAAA